TTTTTATATTTGTTGCTAAAGACAAAAACGCACCCTGGGGCGAAAAGTTAAATTTATTTTTACATGTTGTTAAAACTTTTTTTTTTATTTTTCGTTTTTTTGGGTTTATTTGTTTAAACATTATTTATTTGACATTGAGCAAGTACTCTGTCAAAAAAATAAGCCGGTTAACGTAAAATAAACTAAAAAAATTTTTTTTTTTTTGAAATTTAAATTTTTTAATTTTACAACTATTCTAAAGCTTTTGTCAAATAAACAAAGATCTTTTATTTACTAAATTACTTGTTTACGTGTGCTTTAACTTATCTACTACTTATCACCTATCAGAAAATAATTTTAGTAGGCTAAAAATAGAATTTAACTTTTCGCCCCAGCATGGGGCGAAAAGTTAAAAAAAACAAAATTTTCAAAAAAGGACAAAACGTGATTTTTTTGCGAAAATATCAGGAACTTTTTTATTGAAAGTTGTAGAGGACAAGTTGCCCTACAATATTGATGTATAAATATTTGCATCTAAGTGGATTATATTGTCTAAAAAAAATCATTTATGCAAAATTTAACTTTTCGCCCCAGTCTCCCCTATTTATTTTAAATAATATAATTATCATAGACTTTTCTAATTAAAATTAATTTAAAAATGAATTTTAGTTAAAATTTTGAGATAATAATTGAATATCAATAGAATTATATAAAAAAAATTCGATAAAATTCTACACAAACTTATTTTAAAAAATATTAAAAATTTCACAGGAATCCAATTAAAATTTTTTTTATAAATTTCTTTGAAATAATTCAATTATTTTCCAAAAATAATTTTTTTTTTGGAATTTAATTATTTTCATAAATAATAAAACTCGTTGCAGAATTTAAATTATTTTTAATACAATTTTAATTGAATTCTTTGAAAATTTTATTGAAATTCGTCAAAAGAAGGTAAATATTTAAAAATTTGTTGATAAAATTCTTTATGAGAATTAAGTTTTAAAAAACATTTAATTGTTCAATAAATTATTTATCTCTGTATATTTAAATAATTGAACTCTTGTAGAATTTTCTTAATAACTGAATATTAAAAGCCTTACAGCATGAATTTTTAAAAATAATTGAATTTTTAAAAGGTTTCAAATTAAAATTTTTGAAAATTTGAATTTTTCATACATTTTTGACTGACAATTATGTAGAATTAATTTTTTTTGAAAAAGTTTAATTAAATTTTTTTAAAATTACTTCAAGTTTTTATTTTCTAAATAATTAATTGAAGTATTTCCAAATAATTGAAATCTTGTAAAATTATATTGTAAACAAATTAATTTAAAAATTCTAAAGGAACTTTTGCAAAAATTATTAAAAATAATTGATAATTGAATTCTTTCGAAGAATTTTAATAAAATTTTTGAAAACAATATATTACATTTTTCGAAGAATTTACTTAAAATTGTATATTAAAAATAATTGAAATTCTGTGAAAAATATGTTATTATTTAGAAGAATAATTGAATTCTTGCAACGAATTTTTATTACATTTTTTTCAAATAATTGAAATCCTATAAAGATTTTTATTATCTAGGATAATAATTGAATTCATGCAATGAATTTTATTACATTTTTTTAAATAATTGAATTCTTTTGAGAGATTTTATTAAAATAGTAGATTTTGGAAATATTTGAATTTCAGCGAAGAATTTCGTTATTTATGAAATGTAATTGAATTCTTGTCGAAAATTTTTGAAAATAATTACATTTTTCGAGGAATTTATTTTAAAATATTGAAAATAATTTAAATGATAAGAAAAATTTTATAATTTATGAAAATAATTGAATTCTTACAACGAATTGAATTTCATTTTTTTATATAATTGAATTCATGTAAAAAATTAAATATAATTTGTAAAAATAATTGAGTTCTTAATTAAAACTTTTATTAAAACTTTAATAAAAAATTTTATTAAAACTTTTGTAAATAATTTAATTTTTTTTTAATTTTTTGAAAATGTAAATTATTACAAAACATAAAGATATTAATCACTCCGAGTCTTCGACTCGGAGTTATTGATATCTTCAAGTTTTATAATAATATTTTTATAAATTGTTAAATTTCATTAAGATTTGAATTTGAAATTTTTAAAAAATCTTAATATCTATGGAGTAATAATAATTAGATATTAAATATTTATTTATAAAAGAATTTACTGATGTTTTCGAATAATTTTACAATTAAAGAAATTCATAAATAAATGTAATAGAACATTTTTTTGATTATCTAATAATTTTTATTGTGAATCAGAATATTCTTTAGGGTCAGGGAAGAAGTTAAAATTTTGTCTGGAAATCAAGGAAAAACAAAATTAATTTTTTGTTGCAACCCTGTTTTAGTCAAGAATCGCTGAATAGTCAGTTAGGAAAAAAGTGGTACTGTAAATTACTTCTCATTTATCTCTTCTTGTAATTTTGCATAATTTTTAGAATAAATAATTACTAAGAAAAAACTAATTTTAAACATTCGGCAAAAGGAGTTGCAGAAATTACTTCTCATCTTCAGAATTGTAGTCATTAAATTTAAAAGTCATGCACAAAATAACCTCAGTTGATTGTATTATTATTATTATCAAATGTCTCCAAACTGAATTTATTTTCAATTCGATTTTAGCTTGTAAACCCAAGGGAAATGCAACCTTAAATGCCAGTCACTTATAGACTTTTTTCTACATTTTGATTTTTCCTCACGTGGTTGGATTAAAATTGAAATCTCTAGGCACACAGAATGAGAAAGACGCTTTTAGATTGGCTTTTGAGTGGAGAAATGTCCTTTGATAGATGAGTACTATAGTGGTAGATTTTCCATTTCTCTCTCTCTCTCTATTTCTCTCGTTTACTCTTTCACCACGTGTCTTCCTCTCCGGGTTTTAGAGATGTCTGGGATTACACGCTGAAGTGGGATAGAATCAGAGACTTAAGTCAGGGTTAAACAAGGATCGTCGCTATTGTACCGCGAACCGAGTTTCCATTGTCTCTGGGATAGACGAGTGGATCTGCATATGCTTAGCGGGAGGGTAACACTTGGGTACAATCTTCAACCCTCTACTATTTCCTCCCCTTCTCCCCCTCTCCACAATCGCCTTTCACATTTAGATTCCGTACTTTTTAACAAAAAAAAGTCCATTTTGCATTTGTTTCAATACTTTTTTATTTCTTATTTCGGTTATTTGTTTTAATATTCTTATATTTTTGTATTTGCGAATCTTAGTTTCTACTTAATAAATTTTTCTTTATTTAATCTTTATTTAGCATTAGCCTGTCTTTAGCCTTTCTTAAAGAAACTTTAACTTTTGTAAAGAAAGGTTAAAGAAAGGCTAAAAAATAAAGACAAATCTTTATTTCAATATTTGTAGAGAAAAATATTTTCCGATTCAGGATAAACTGATATACATGAGTATAATAGTCCAGGGTTGCCACGCAACCTGGAAACCCTGAAAAAGTCAGGGAATTTTTATAAACCTTGAAAAAACATGGAAAAGTCAGGGAATTTTGATTGGAATCCTGGCAAATTACTGTTTTCTAAAGTTATTCTTGAAATCTAATTTTTCTTTAATTCAATTTTCTTAATTCAATTTTAAAAGAGTTGCCTTTACAATTTTTCTTCGCAATAATTCAATTATTTTCATAAATAATAAAAAAATTTATAGATTTACAATTATTTTCATAAATAATAAAACTCATCGCAAAATTTCAATTATTTTTAATACAATTTTAATGGAATTTCTCGAAAAATGTTTAACTATTCTTAAAATTTTTTTTTAAATTCATCAAAGAAATTCAATTATTTTCAAAAAAAATAAAATTCTTCGCAAAAATTTAATTATGGTCAAAAGTTTAAAAAACTTATCGTCAAAATTTCAATTATCTTTATAAATATTAAAATTTTTCTCCAAAATTCAATTATTTTCAAAAATTTTAATGAAATTCTTTTTAACAAATTCAATTATTTTTCAAAAATTCTCCTCCAGTCAATGATTTTCAATATCTACTATTTCAATAAAATTTTCCATAAGAAATTAATTATTTTAAAATTTTTTTATAAATTTCTTTGCAATAATTCTATTATTTTCAAAAATATTCAATTTATGTTTACATAGATTCAATTATTTTTATAAATATGTAATACAATTTTTTACAGGAATTCAATTATTCTTTTTAATAGATAATAAAACTCATTGCAGAATTTCAATTATTTTTGATACAATTTTTTAATCGAATTCATCGAAAAATGTAATTAGGTATACTTAAAATTTTATTAAAATTCGTCAAAAGAATTAAATTATTTAAAAATTTGTTGATAAAATTCTTTAAATGAGAGTTGAATTTTAAAAAATATTCAATTCTTTATTTTTTTTTTGTATTTAAATAATTGAATTGTCGTAGATTTTTCTAATAATAATTGATTCAAATATGAATTTCAGTTAAAACTTTAGATAATAATTGAGTTTTGAAAAGCAGGTCTCAAATTATAATCTTTGAATGTTTGAATTGAAATGATGAAAGTAAGTTTGAATAAGTTACAGTAACAATATTCTTATAATAGGTATAAAATGATGATTTTATCAGTCCAACATTTTCAATTATTATAACAATTTTTTATAAGTTGTTTAATTTCAAAAAGGTTAGAATTAAAAATTTTGTAAAATATAAATGTAGTTTTAAAAACCTGGAAAAATTCCGTTTTTTAACCTGGAAAACCTGGAAAAGTCAGGGAATTTGAAATGAGCAAAAGCGTGGCAACCCTGACAATTAGAAGAATTTTTAGTGAAAAATGTGTGAATTCCAAATCTTTTTTTTCATTTTGGTGATCAATTAATCTGTATAGAGCCCGTACCATGCGGGCGGTTTATCATCCCTCTTTTTCTCTTTTGATTTAAATAATCCGGTATTTTTTTAAAATCTTGGTGATGAGTTCACATTTTGTTTGTCTTTGTTGATAATTGTTTGAATTTTTTTGATTTCAGTTAAAAGTCTTCCAGTTCATTGTGTCGTTGAAGCGATTCATAGTATTGTGGAGAGTCGCTCGACTACTCGTGACAACTGGAGGAGGCCTCATGTTGAAAAAGACACTTATGTTTTCATTCCAGCTGTGATGCCATTTCAGGTGAGTTTCTAGAAATTAATATTTTTCTATTCTTTCATTTCTTACGGTTGTAAAAATCTTGAAATAAATGATTTTGATTATTGAAATTGATTTTGATAATTAATGATTTTGAATGGTACAAAAATTATTCCCTCTATCGATTCTACATATCAAGTTCAAAACTGGTCCTGAACTGTAGTTGAACCTAATTTTTAAACTAGAAACTGTTCCTAAAACTATTCCTAAATTCTGCAGAATTTAATAATTTATTAGAAATTTTCAATTAGTCCTAAAGATGCTGCACTTATATAAAGTAGATATAAAGTGAATGTGGAATTGATACTAAATCCAAAAATGCTGCCATAAACCGAACTAATTAAATTAAAAATTCCTTCTTCTTTGTCAAATAAAAGAATTCTTGTTGTTTTACCTCTCATCTCATGAACAGAACAAATTGTCAACTAAATAGTTTACAGTTGCTAATACTGCTAATATTGTTGTAATGTAATGTGTGAAATAAAATCAAATTTCTTTCTCTTCTTATTTTTAGGATCTAGTTGGAGAAACATTGGTGCGATTAGGTTACTCAAATGATCTCATTCTTAGCGCTCGAGGGAGTATTGTGATAAGAAACTGGAAGCCATTACCAACTGAGAAAGTGGCCGAAGGTCCACTATTAACAGTTGGTGATATTTTGGCAGAATTAATTCACCTGACAACACTGAAAATTCAAGTCTATAGATCAAGACCACCGCCACCTAGTCCAGCAACCGAGGTCAGAGACAAACTTCTAAGGTTTCTGCTGCTTCACAGTCATGCATTTCTAGTCGGATGTCCTCTCGATGAGGTAATTTTTTTCCTTAATAATAATTTTATATGTTATTTATACGCAAATAGCAAAGGATATTATAGGATATCCCATTCATATCTGGAAGTTAGAATATCCCAGGGTGCTTTTAAGAATCCCTGGGCCATCCTAAGGCAGGGTTGCCTTAGGATCGGAATCCTAGAAAATTATTGCTTTCTAAAGTTATCAATTATTTTCATAAATAATAAAACTCATCCCAGAATTTCATTTTAATGATTGGTGGACATTTTTTCCAATCCCTTCTTCCCACTCCAATTTTCCCAAAGTATTTTTTTCCCAATAGTTATTTTTACCAAAATAAAGAAATTATCAAAAATTCGAAATTTAATTAAAGTATATTTATTGTGAAATCAATTTAATGAATTAAGAAATTTAGAAATGTACGTAGTAACCAATAGTTTTTAGATATTGTAGCGTTTCATTATATTCAACATATTCCGGGTATTTTTGAACTATTGTAAGCAATTGTTTTTCGATTTTGACGCATAAATGACTTGTGCTTTTTTTGAACATTTATCTTACGTTTTACCGAACTGTAAGTGAAGAGCTAATACATGTATCGTAATGTTTATGCTTTTTACATTATTACTTCCACAGAAAAAAATATGTGTTAAATTTGTTGCGTGTAGTTTTCAGGTGATGTTGTTTTAACATAATTTTGGTGTTATTTTAACCCCATTTAAAATGTATATTAATTTAACACCCTGTAGTGTTAATTTAACACATTCCAGTGTTATTTTAACACCAATGAAGTGTTAAAATCACACACTGTCTGTTAAAAATGTTGCGTGTAGTTTTAACACTACTTTTAGTGTTATAATAACACTTCTTTTTTCCATCCTCATAGAGGAAGTATTTTTCAATGTAATTGCTTTTACATTTTAGTTCTTTGAAAATTACTGTTTTAAAAGTTCATCACAGTTTTACCGAACTAAATTCAGTAAAATTTCAGGAATAAATTTTCTCCGTGTGTTTCGAGCCCTGTAATATAACCATATAATAATATAATGTTACAAAAATTATTTCACAAAATTTATAATATTTCTAATTAAAAACTTCCTCTATGAGGAAGTAAAATCATTAAAATTTAGTAGAATTCATGTAGAAATTCTATAGAATCGTTCTAGTGAAATTCTATTCAACTTTTTCAGAAATGAAGATGAATGAATGAAAAAAAGACAGAGTTATCAGATTATTTTTCCAGTGTGCAGTTTTTTTTTTGTATACATAGTTAAATTGTGGTCAGAAATTCTCGATCTAAGAATTACAATTCCCAGTAGCAAATAATGGAAGTGAAAAATCCATCTTTTCAGCTCGTGTATTTTGATTGACGTCAATCATTCGCCATTAGTTTTGAAGTCATCTGAGATAAATTTGGATGGGTAACGTCTATCAAGAGAAAATTGGTAATCATAGACCAACGTGAACGGCATTAAAGTTCGCTGGGTGGAGACGTAGGATCTTCAAAGAGAGTGCACTTAGATAATGCCTGGCCCGGGGTGGCTCTCTCCCTTTCACCCCCCCCCTCCTCTCCCCACCCCTTTTCCTCCACAATATCGAAAGGGGGCTTTTGATGAAGGCTGCGAATTCGGTTGAGTAAAGGGTAATCCTATCACACGCTACGGCTATGAGATCTTCGTTTTGACTATAGATAGTCTCGAAGAAGGAGTACAAGCTCCTAGAATGCTTTCTGTATTCACATTACCTACATGGATTCAAATGCTCTTATGCATACATATATAAGCAATCTCTCTCTTCATTTGCCTCATCACTCTCAATCCACTTTTCGAAAATAAGTTCATTTAGTCTTATGTAAATCCCTCTCTCTCTCTCTCTCTCTCTCTCTATACTCAACGACCTCGGGGAAAATTTAATCTCCCCCCCCCTCTCCTTGTTATCATTAACTAAATTTTGTCAGACGTTTATATTTCACACGGTATATCATTTTAATTCAAAATTAAAATGTGAATTGTAATTGAATAAACAATATTTTATTGGCACACTATCTAAGTGGAACAACATTTAATTATTTAGATTTTAGTGTTGAAATTTTTTCTTGATTTTTTTTTTTGATAGGAAAGGTTTTTGTTTTAGATGTATAGGAAAATGAATGAGAGCGAGACTTTTTGACTCGTTGAGAGAGTGAGTCAAAACCGAGAAAGCATTTATTTAAGGTGGGGATCAAGAGACCGCAGAGCGAGCTTCCGCTTGCAGATTACCACAGGGCGGCTCTTGGAGAAGTAGAAGAGGCAAACAGAGACCAGCCGGAGGACTTCTTAATGAGATTAGGTGTCCTGGCGACAAACACTCTCTGGCTAGATTTACATTTTATACATTTTTAAGCGTTTGTCTAACCGCAACATTCTACTTCCGTTTTCACTCTCTTGACAAGCTCTTCCACCAATTTATTCATCATCATCAGGAATTAAAAATGAGTAAAAGAAAATACTTAATGCTCCAATCTGCATTTTTATCATCGATTATTTTAATTGCAAAATAGAATAGAATCGAAATCGGAAAATATAATTATTACTTTTGTAGATTAATTAATATTCTAACAGCATCCTAGAGCCTATAAAGAAACCGCAAAAATTATTGTTTTCTTAAAGTCCACACTCTCGTGAAAATCTTTTGCTTCACTACATAATCTGTTTATTACTGAATTTGACAAATAGTTAGTTTATTATTTAATTGTAATAAAATTATTTAAAAGGGACGCATATGATTATATACCCAAAATCGTATTCGACAGAAAAACATTTAACATAAATTTTTATTTGACCTAAAATTCATTTGATCTAAATTATTCATTAGACAATGAATTCGTCTGTCATAAATTTGATTTCATGTAAAATTCATTTAACAAAAAATTTCATTTGACATAAAACTCATTTAAAAATTGAAATTTGAAATAAAATTGAAATTTGAAATCTAATTGACATGAAAATCATTTGACGTAAAGCCCAGCTGAAAAAGTTCTATAGAATTTCACTAGAATCATTCTACATGAATTCTAGTAAATATTCTACAGAATTTCTACATGAATCTACTAAAATTTAGTTATAATTAGACAGAATTTAAATTCGTGAAATAATATTTTTCAACTTTATATTATTGTGTATTTGAATTTTACATTTGATTTATTTGACAAATCATTTATTTTATATTACAATAATATTTTACATCTTCAAAATTATTTTCATCATTTCAATTCAATTATTATTTTTAAGAATTTTTCACTAAAATTTTTCTTTAAAAATCAATTAATTTTCTAAAAAGTTCTTCTACAATTTTCAAAATCCATTTATTTACAATATTCAATTTTACAAATTTCAATTGTTCGTAAATTCTTCAGTTAAATATATATTAGAAAATAAAATCTTCAAATAATAATAGAAAAAAAAATTCAATTACACTTTTTCAAAAAAATCAATTTCAAAATTCAATATAATTTCTAAAAATTCACTGTATATTTGCTTTTAATATTCAATTATTATCTAAAATTTAACTGAAAATAATTTTTAAATTCATTTTTATTAGAAAATTCTACTAGAATTCAATTATTTAAAAACAAAAATAAATAATTTATTAAACAATTGAATTTTTCTTAAAATTCAAATTCTCGTGAAAAATTTTATCAACATATTTTTAAATAATTGAATTCTTTCGACGATTTTTAATAAAATTTTTAAAAATAATTACAATTTCCGAGAAATTCCGAGAAATTTCCGAGAAATTCGATTAAAATTGTATTTAAAATAATTGAAATTCCGCATTGAGTTTTATTATTTATGAAAAAAATTGAATTCCTAAGAAGAATTTTACTATTTTTTAGCATAATTAAATTTCTGCGAAGGATTTTATTACTCATGAAAACAATTGAATTTCTGCAATAATTTCTAACTACTCTAAAATTAAATTTTTTTTAGTGTTAACTAAAATTTTTCTACAAATCAATTTATTTTCAAAAAATTTTTTCTTTAATTTTCAAAATCCATTTATTTACAAATTTCAATTGTTCGTAAATTCTTCATTTAAATATATATGAGAAAATAAAAACTTCAAATAAAACATAAAAAAATTCAATTATACTTTTTCAAAAAAATTAATTATTATCAATTATTATCTAAAATTTTAACCAAAATTCATGAAAAAATATGTTTACCTACTATTCCAATTAACTGAAATTCATTTGTAAATCAACTTTTATTAGAAAATTCTACTAGAATTATTTAAATACAAAAATAAATAATTTATTGAACAGTTGAATGTTTCTTAAAATTGAATTCTCATAAAGAATTTTATCAACATTTGTTTAAATAATTGAATTCGTTTGACCAATTTTAATAAAATTTTTAATAATAATTACATTTATCGACAAATTCGATTAAAGTTGTATTAAAAATAATAATTGAAATTCTGCATTGAGTTTTATTATTTAGAAAAATAATTTAATTATATTGCTAAGAAATTTATAAAAAATTTGTAAATAATTGAATTTCTGTGAAATTTTTATTATTTTATGAAAATAATAGATATTGAAAATCATTAGATTGAGGAAATTTTTTTGAAAATAATTGAAATTTTGCCAAGAATTTTATTAAAATTTTTGAAAATAATTGAATTTCGGAGAAAAATTTTATTATTTCTAAAAAATAATTGAAATTTTGACGAGAATTTAAAAAATTTTTTGAACATAATTGAATTTTTGCTAAGAATTTTATTACTTTTGAAAATAATTGAATTTTGCAATCATTTGTAATTTCTTTACAATTTTCCAAATTTTATCGTACAATTTACAAACTTCTTGTCCTTCTTTAATCAAATTACGGACTCTACGGGCATTTTTGAAAAAATTTATATTCTTTCTAATTGAAAATCATTAAAATTTTGTAGAATTCATGTCGAAATTCTATAGAATCGTTCTTGTGAAATTCTATAGAATATTCACTAGAATTCATATAGAATGATTCTAGTGAAATTCTATAAAAAAATTTTTAGCTGGGAGTTCATTTGACATAAATAATATTTAACGTAAAATTGATTTAATATATAAAAATTTTATTTTTACACAAAATTCATTTTACATGAATGAAATTCACATGAAATTCGATTTGTAATTTATTTGACATAAAAGTAATTTCACATAATTCTCGTTTGACATTAATCTTCGCTTGATGTTAATTTTATTTCACATAAAAATCACTTGACATAAATTTCATTTGACATAAAATTTATTTAAAATAAAATTCATTTGACATTATAATATAGGCGTGAATTTTGAATTAATAAGTATCAGATATTATTAAGAAAATTGTGATTAGTCATTTTTAAAAATCGGATTTATTTTTTTAGGACATATTATCTTTAAGTCAATTGATATTTATGTCAAGTGAATTTTTTGTCAAATGAAAATTATAATGAATAACTTTTAATCAAATAAATTTTTTGTCAAATGAAAATTATAATGAATGACTTTTAGTAAAATCAATTTTATATTAAACTAAAATTATGTCTAATTAATTTTATGTTAAATGAAATTTATGTCAAATAAACTTTAAATTAATCGAATGTTATGTCAAATAAAATTCATGTCAATTAAAATATGTGTCAATATTTTTGTCAGAAATGAAGTCTCCTTTTGACAAGTAATTTTTATGTAAAATGCAATTTATGTCAAGTGATTCCTTACAAATATTTTTTATCGGAGTCCGATGCACCTGGGAAAAAAGCTATGATATTTTTCTCAAGGTAAATATATTTTTTTCCCAAGGAAACAACCTGCTTTCAGTTTAAAAGAAAAAAGTTACATCAGTTTATTTTCATTCCTCGGTGCAATAAAACCCTTCGAGATTAGAATATTATTTTTGTTTTTTAAAACATTTTTTTTTTGTAAAGTTTGCTTTTCCAAAAAAAAGTCATTCTTTGATAAATAAAAATAATGTTACTGGTTGCTGGCAATGTATCTTAATATTTTTTTATATAAAACGAGAAAAAGAAACCAGTTTAAATTAGATTTTAATGAGAATGATTTATAAGTTCATGGGAGATCTGTCGACAAGCTACGTCACGGCAATCTTTAAAGAATAAATATCAGTGTAAATCAGGCTTAAGCAGTCTTTCAGATAAGCTGGTTTGTTAGAATACATTTTGACGCGTGTTTGCTAAATGATTTCTAAAATCTAGCTGATGATTTGTCTGTCAACCTGCTTTGAGTGAGTGATTAAGGAGAGGGTTGTAAAACTTGTCTGAGATTTTTTCTTTTTCTCTTTTTTTTTTACTTTTAAATTCAAGGGTCTAACGTATAATGGCTCATTAAGATCCGTACTGATTAATTCATTATTTGACGTCACTCTTGATCCTTCTTTAGATGTTTGTTTCTTATAAATCATAACGATAAGACACTCCTATTTTCTTTCATTTCAAACATTTCCATAATCTGAAAATTCTCTTGATTTTGCGCTTTGTAATAATTGATTCTTTTTTTTTTACAATTTTCTGAGTTTCTTTTCTGTATTTTTTTAACCTTTCGATATCAGAATCTGGATGTTTTATAGAGGTCTTAGTGATATTCGGGAATTACAGGCTTCGCACTTATCTACTAAAACCTACTATTTACTACTTTTTTTAAGTTGTGTTACTATTTGGGCACTTTTCTTAGATTTCAGCTACTATAAAAGCTTCTATTTCTGTTTTTTTTAGAATTTTCACTACTTTAAATTTGCTAATACAAGAAATAAAAAAACTATTCTCAAAAATGATAATCAAATTCTTTAAAACGATTCAATTATTTTCAAAAAATATTGAAAATTCAATTATATTAAAAAAAAATTAAAAATTCAATTATTTTCAAAAAATATTGAAAATTCCATTATTTTCAAAAACTATTAAAAATTCAATTATTTTCAAAAAATATTAGAACTTCAATTATTTTCAATATTTAGAATTTTCATAAAATTTCGCAAAAGAAATCAATTTAAAAAAAACATTAATTATTAACATTAATTAAATTTATACAAAATTCAATTATTTTCATAAATATTAAAATTTCCACAAGAATTCAATTAATTTAGAATAGCATGTTCAAAAAAATTTTTTTTAAAATTAATTATTTAACAAAATTTTTATACAATTCTTCACAATGATTCAATTACTTTCACTAATAATAACATATTTCATGGAAATTCAATTTTTTAAAAAAGTTTTTAATAAAACTCTAAGCAAGAATTCAATTATTTTCATAAATAATTAAACTAATCAAAGAATTTCAATTATTTTTAATACAAGTTTAAATTAATTAATTGTAAAATTCAATTATTTTAAAAAGTAAAGTTTTTCAAAAGAATTCAATTACTTGAAATAAAATTTTCAAAATATTTATTACATTTCGAAAATATTAAATATTTAAAACAATGTTAATAAAATTCTTACGAAAAATTCAATTATTTTCAAAAATAACAAAATTGAATTAATCGAAAAATTCAATTATTTTCAAAAATAACAAAATTGAATTAATCAAAGAATTCAATTATTTTCACAAATAATTTTTTCCACGAGAATTAAATTATTTGAAATAAAATTGTCATATTTTTTATTATATTTCAAAGAATTTAATTATTTAAAACAATGTTTATAAAATTCTTTTGAAAAATTCAATTATTTTTAAACATAACAAAATTGAATAAATCGAAAAATTCAATTATTTCTACGAATAAATTTTTTCACAAGAATTCAATTATTTGAAATAAAATTTTCATAATATTTATTATATTTCGAAAAAATTAAATATTTAAAACAATGTTTATAAAAATCTTATAAAAAATTCAATTATTTTTAAAAATAACAAAATTTTTTAAAAGAAATTCAATTCTTTTTAAATATTTTAATAAATTTTTCGCAATAATTCAATTATTTTCATAAATAATAAAATTCTTCTCAAAAATTCAATTATTTTTGAAAATTTTAATAAAATTCCTCACAAGAATTAAATTATTTACATAAATAATTCTTCGAAAGAATTTAATTATGACGTAGATAGATAACAAAATTATTTTCGAAAATTCAAGTATTTTGAGGCATTTTAATAAAATTCTTAGCAAATTTCAATTATTTTCATATATAACAATTTTTCATCACAAGAATTCAATTATTTTTAAAAATAATGAATTTTTTCTTTGAAATTCAATTATTTAAAAAATTCTAATAAAATCGTTCGCAAGAATTCAATTATTTTCATAAATAATAAAATGCTTTTTAGGAATTCAATTATTTTCAAAAAAAGTTAAGAAAACATCACACAGACTTTCAATTATTGTCAAAAGTTTTAATTTAATTATTTAAAAAATTTTTTGTAAATATCTTCGTAAGAATTCAATTGTTTTCATGAATAATAAAAATTTCTAAGGAATTTAATTATTTAAAACTAGTCGATTGAAATCAATTATTTAAAAATTGTTATAAAATTCTTCGCAAGAATTAAATTATTTTTACAAATATTTATTAATATTTTTGATGAATAATAAAGTTCGTTGCAGGAATTCAATTTATTAGCAGGATAAGGAAGAAGTAAATATTTTTGATAAAAATTAGGATAAAGTCAAGAAAATAAAAAATATGGGATGGAACTTTTGTCAGTTTTGTGAAGTGTCTAAAACTATTTTTTTGGTCAAGTTTAATTTTTCGATAGCTAATTATTTACTAATTTTTTTTAGTTTAAAAGCTACTATTTTCTACTTTTTTAAAATTAATTATCGAATGCGAAGTCTGAAATTATGATATCCGTCGGATGGCCTAGGGATGCCTAAAGACACCCAAAGACACCCAGAGATATCCGAAACTAATTATATTTGTAGGATCACTCAGGTATACCAAAAGACACCCAAGGATACCAGAAACTATTATATTTTAAGGATCACTCAGGGATACCCGAAACTATTATTTTTGTAGGATCACCTAGGGATACAAAAAGACACCCAGAGACACCTGAAACTATTATTTTTGTAGCATCACCCAGAGATACCTAAAGACTCCCAGAGACACCCAGGAATACCCGAAACTATTATATTTAAAGGATCACCCAGGGATATCTGAAACTATTATATTTGTAGGATTACCCAGGGATACCAAAAGACACCCAGAGGTACCCGAAACTATTATATTTGTAGCATCACCCAGAGATACCAAAAGACGCCCAGAGACACTCAGTGATACCCGAAACTATAATATTTGTAGGATGGCCCAGGAATGCCCAAAGACACCCAGAGGCACTCAGGAATATTCGTTATCCTACTAGGGACTCTGGTCACCTATGACCAAAATTTTACTTAACATAAAAATTATATTTTTACACCCTAGTAAAATTTCTTGTTTTCTTCTGTTTTTAGTTAACTCTAGCGTCGCTCTGCAGAGGTGGGAATGATATTTCAGAGGAGACGAGAAGAAATTTTGAGAATTGGTTGCATCAGCAGCATTTGTCCTTTGGAATGAATCATCTGATCCCGCAGACGAATCATCAGACCCAAAGTCCACAGCCTGATGGTACGAGTGGTCCATTGGGTCAGACAAGTCACATTGGTCATCCTCCTCATCCTGGTCTTCTTCCATATTCCCATAAAACAAGAATGCGAACCAGTTTTGATCCAGAACTCGAATTACCAAGACTGCAACGTTGGTTCGGTGAAAATCAACATCCAACGCGTTCACAAATTCAGCACTACGTTACGGAATTGAATTCCCTTGAATCTAGACGTGGACGAAAACCATTGGATGTTCATAATGTTGTTTACTGGTTTAAAAATGCGAGAGCCGCCCAAAAGAGAGCGGAGACGAGGGGTGTGAATGGTTACAGTCCTCCTGGACTAAGTCCCAGAGGTGCTAGCATGATCAGCGAGGATTGCTCGGATGATGAGGAGGATTCAAGGCATCAGGTAGGAATTGTTTTTTATTTCGAAGCAAACAAACTTCGGTAGGGATTTATTAACACTAGACTTTCTAATTGGGGTATTTTGGTACCACAGATGATTTCTTTTTCTTTCTAACTAGGGTACCAAAATATCTGGGTGACGAGTATTTTGGTACCCTAGTTAGCTGGTTCATATGTTTCTTCCTAACTGGGGTATCAAAGTATCTGAATCTGGGGTATTTTGGTACCCCAGTTAGCTGGTACCTACGCTATTCTTTAAAATACTCCTGGGGGTCGATTCTGTAACTTTCCCAATTCCCACTCTCACTTCCCACTCCCACCTGCCATTTCCCACCTTCCACTCCCACTCTCAATTCCTACTCCCACTTTTCACTTCCACTCTCACTTTCCACCATCACTTCCCACCTTTTACTTTCCACTCTCACTTCTCACCTTCCACTCCCACTTCCCACTTTCACTCTCCACTTTCAGTTCCCACCTTCCACTTTTCACTCTCACTTTCAGTTCCCACCTTCCACTTTTCACTCTCACTTTCCACTCCCACTTTTATTTTCCACTCTCACTTCCCACCTTCCACTTTTCACTCCCACTTCCCACTCCTACCTTCCACTTTCCACTCTCGATACCCACTTCCACCTTCGCCTTTTCACTCTCACTTTTTACTCCCATTTTACACTTTCACTTCCCACTAATACGTGATTAACGATTAAGAGTGCAATGTTGAAATTGAGAGAAGTAAGTGTGAGTGTAAAGAAGGTGTGAAAAATGGAAAATAGAGTGAAAAAGGGAAAAGAAAATGTAAAAAATAAAATTTTGGAAGTGAAAGTAGAAGATAATAAGTGAAAGTGGGAAAATCAAAAATACACAATGAAGGAAGTAGGAGTAGGAAGTGGAAGGTAGGAGTAGAAAGTGGGTGTGAAAAGTGGAAGGTGGGAAGTAAAAGTGGGAAATAGAAATGAGAGTGAGAAATAGGAGTTTGAAGTGAGAGTGGAAAGTGGGAGTGGGAAATGAGAGTGTAAGATTGGAGGTGAGAGTGTAAAGTGAGAGTGGGAAGTGGGTAGTAAGAGTAGGAAGTGAGGGTGGAAGGTTGGTGGTGAGAGTGTAAAGTGAGAGTGGGAAGTGAGGGTGGGTAGTAAGAGTAAGAAGTGAAAGGTGAAAGGTGGGAATGGGAAGTGAGGGTGAAAGATTGGAGGTGAGAGTGGGAAGTGAAAGGTGTAAGGTGGGAGTAGGAAGTGAGGGTAGATGGTTGGAGGTGAGAGTGTAAAGTGAGAGTGGGAGTGTGTACTTAGAGTGGAAAGTAGAAGGTGGGTAGTAGGAGTGGGAAGTGAAAGGTGAAAGGTCGGAAGTGAGGGTGGGAAGTTAAAAGTAGGAAGTGGGAGTAGGTAGTAAGTGTGGAAAATGAAAAGTGGGAGTGGATAGTGAGAGTGAAAAGTGGAAGATGGGAAGTGAGAGTGGGAAGTGGAAGGTGGGAAGTTGAGAGTGGAAAGTTGAGAGTAGAAAGTGGAAGGTGGATAGTAGGAGTGTGAAGTTGAAGGTGGTAAGTGGGAGTAGGTAGTAAGAGTGGAAAGTAAAAGGTCGGAAGTGAAAGTGGGAGTGGGTAGTGAGAGTGGAAAGTGAAAGGTGTGAAGTGAGAGCGAAAAGTGGAAATTGAAAGTAGAAAGTGGGAGTGTGAAGTGAGAGCGAAAAGTGGAAGGTGGGAAGTTAAGAGTGGAAAGTGGGAGTGTGAAAGTTACAGAATCGACCGAGTTTGGGGTATTTTGGTACCCCAGTTAGCTGACTAACTGGGTGACTCACTAACTGTGGCTTGGTTGTAGTCTCTAACTGGGGTGTCAACCCCAGTTAGAGACTACGACCAAGTCCCAATTAAGGACTCTAGAACCAAATGAATTTATTAAACAGATTTTTGAAATGAACTGTTTTGTTTGTCCTCAGACGTCTTCACCGTATCCTCCAGGAAGTCCTCCGGTTGGACCGTTGTCATTGACAACGCGTCCCGAAGATCAGCAACCCTCTTTGACACCGTCGTCAGTGAAGCAGGAAGATGGCAGAGTGTCTTCCGGCTCTGAAGACGACGAAACCAGTCCAACTGATCCATTACCACCAGGATTTCCTCTATTACCGAGTCCAATGTTCAGTCAGAGTGTCATGTACATGTCGCATTATCTCACTCCACGTGGACCACCCGGATGTCCAACGAATTTGTTAGACGAGAGGAGAAAACGGAATCGGACATTCATTGATCCTGTTACGGAAGTTCCCAAACTCGAGACGTGGTTCACTCATAATACTCATCCCAGTCATGCGGTAATTTTTCATTCTAATTAATATCCTCCATTTTGAACAATATTTTTCATCCAATTTTTGTCTATTTTCTAAATTCCAATTACCTGTTAATAAATGAAGTAAATTCCGTATTCAAAAAGAAACTAAATTAAAAAAGCAAACTAAATAAAAAAAAAATTATTTTTAATTTACTTCAAAATAGGGAAAATAATTTTAACTCAATATGTTCGTTACTTTTTTCAAACAATTCTCAGATAGCGAGTAAACTTGCAGCAATCTTGCTAGAATTTTGCTGCAAGATTACGTGTTATCTGTGTTGGAAATATGCGGAAAAAATTTTTAATTGCATTTCCATATTTAATCCTAATTCTAATTTTAAAAAAATTCTTTTCATTTTTTGGATAATTCAAAAATATTCAAAATGGTGAATTTAAAATGTTAACGAACTGTCATGAATCGTTTGTATTCGCTGACTTTTTTAAAACCGAATTTAACGAATCTTGATCCAATACCTAAAAATGCTGCAATATTACCAAAATTACCGGAATTTTGCTGTAATTTTTGCAATGTTGCCCAAATTAGAAATAAAAATAAAAGTACAGGAATATATATATATAAAATTTAATGATTAGGTACTTAGAATAAAAATATAATTCGATTTTTTAAAATTCCTCCGCCATCTTTGTTCCGCCATTTTGAATTTTTAAAAATCGATCTTCACAATACGAAATGAAATCAACAGGAATAATTATTACTTTTTTTATTATTTTGTCAATTATTTATTTTTTTATCTGAATAATTGAATTCTCGTAATTGAATTTCAATCAAAATTTATTTGAAAATGATTTTTGGATGAAACTTTAAAAAATAAGTAAAAGTGTTAAAGTAGGATTCTTCAGAAATAATTTAATTTCAAAAAGTTTATAAATTGAAATTCTAATTGTTGTAAAAGTATAATACTGTTGAAATATAAAAAATTTTTTTGTTAACTTCCCCAAAAAAATTTTTAATACCTACCTAATATAATTCAAAAATTCTAAAAAATAATTTAATTTTGAAAGACTTGTAGTTCAAATTTTCATAAAAAAATTTTTAAAATGGTTTTACATTGAAATTATTTTGAAATTTTAAGCAAATAAAGGACAATAGGTATTTAAATATTTATTTTACAAAAGTAATTGAAATTTGAAAGATTTAATTTAGAAATTCGTAAAAAATTAGGTTTTTGAAAAATAGTAATTAAAATTTTTGAAGATATACTTGAATTCCCGAAAATAATTTTTAAAAAATTGAAACAATTTGAAATTTTGTAAAATTTTATTAAAATAAATTTAATGTTTTAAAGAATTTTATTTTTTTCACCTTTAAAAATTATTTATAAATATTTTTGAAAAGTAAAAGTAAAAGTATTTTTAAAAATATATTATTTTATGAATTTACACTAAAATTATTCTATTTAAATAATTAAATTCTCGTACTTGAATTCTGATAGGAATTGATTTAAAAAAAATTTAAATTAAAATTTTAAAAAATAATTGAATACTTAAAGTGTTATAACAGAAATTTTAGGAATTAATTAAGTTTTAAAAGATTTTAAAATTAAATTCTTTGAAAATATAAGGGAAGCAAAAGTACAAAAATATTTAAATTTTCCTTTTTAGAAATTTACTAATTATATTATTTTTCTTTAAAAATTCTTAGTTTTAAATAATTTTATTTAAAAATTCAAAAAAAAAAAATATTTGAATTTTGGAAGAATTACAGTTGCAATTTTTATAAATAATTAAATTTAAAAATGTTTTTCATTGGAATTATTTGACATTTTAATTCCTGTGGAAAAATAATAAAGAATAAGTTTAAAAAAATTTTACCAGAATTCCAGTGGTACTCGAAAGTTCAATTATTTAATAAAAAATATTTTACATTTAAATTATTAGAAATATTTTAGCAATTTCTACACAATTTGTTCAAATAATTCTTAATTTTTTTTTAATGTGAAGAGAAACTGTTAGAAAAATTATATTTTTTAAAAAAGGAGGAATTTTTATTAAATTTGGAAAAGAAAATATTTCAAAGCACCAATGGAAATTAAAATTTCACTTGCGCTTGCGTAATAAATAAATTAAATTAAATTAAAAGCAAAATAGTTAATAAATAAAATTAAAACAAAGTAGTTAATAAACAAAATAAGAATTATAAAATAAAGACAAAATTTATTTATTTGAATATTAACAAAACAGGCCCTTTCGTGAAAGAGTATTTAAAATTAGAATAATTAAAAATAAAATAATAAAAATAAAAGAATAAGAAGTAGAAAAATAAGAAAATATGTAAAATCGATTGATTGCATTTTTCAGTGACAGAAATTTATTGATTACTCAGTCAGTGGAAATAAAAAAACAATTTCTTGTAATTTTTTCACCTCTATGATAAAATTAACGAAAAATAATAAAAATAAATTTCTTTTTCTCTGATTACAGTTAATTCTGAAGTACACGGAGGAACTAAATAGAATGCCATATCGGCAAAAGTTTCCCCGATTGGAAACAAAAAATGTGCAATTTTGGTTTAAAAATCGTCGAGCCAAATGTAAGCGTTTAAAAATGGCACTTTTCGATGGAGAATCACCACAGCCTCATCCCTATCATGCAGAGTAGATTGCTCATATCCTGTGTAAATAATACACGTCAAAAAAAAAAAAAAAAAAAAAATGCTACACACATTCGTATAGTATAATAATTTTTTTCCCCTCCCCAATCTCAGACCAAAAAAAATTACACGCGCACTTGATTATAAATAAGAAAAAAAGAAAATAAATTTAACAATTAGAAAATATGTATTATGATATACATATACGTGATTACACTCAGCATTATATATATAAAATATATATTATATAGACAAGCGAAAAAAAAATTATACACCAGTAAAATTATAAAAACGCTTGTTAATTCGTATTCCTTCCCCGACCCCCCCCCCCCTCCCAACCACGTTGATTATTCATAAAAGTCTGTGTAATTATTTCGTAAGTAGTAATATATTTACTTTTATGTTTTACAATAAATGTAAATACGAAAATGATGTCCAATAAACTGTACGCCACTATAAAGATGACTATTATTATTATTATATTTAATACCTTCATCTACATTAAGGATTCAATAAATTATGTGCTTTCAAATTCAAATTATGTGCGTTTTTGATTATTCTATTGAGTTACGTGTAGATAAAATTTTCCTCTTTGGAAAATTGATTTTAGTTCATTGTAAATTTCTCTCTTCTCTTAATATAATTTTCTTTTACTATAATAGTAAAAATTATATTATGTCATTTGAATCCAAAAAATTCGTTTCCTTTATTTTTCCTAAATTTTCCCTTGTATAGTTTCTCATTTAAAAATTTTCCTTTTAAATTTTTAAGTGTTCTGAATTCAATTCAAATTTTTAATTCGAATTCCATATAATTCAAGTTCTCATTTTAATACAGAAAAAAAGTTCTCCTCGAACTGCTATGAGAATTTTTTACTTATTTCTGTTAAAACTTTCGCTATTCTTAAAAAAGTAAAATCATTAATGAAGGTAAACTTTTTTTTCGTGATGTAAAATTAAAATTTTGATTTATCGTATCGATTAGGGGTGTCAATTCTGTAATTTTACTTTCACTTTTATTTTATTAAAAGTAACTTTTACTATATGCTTGCAGCAAAATCTAACATTTTAAATATTTTTTCGCATTTCTAGTTTCATTTCTATTATTTTTGAACTCAAAGTTAGGAAAAGTAACTTTATCTATAGGTAAATTAAAAGTAAAATTGGAATGATGGTCGATTATGTAATTTCCTTTCTACTTTGACTTTGATTTTCACTTTCACCTTAAAAGATTTTTATTTTCACTTTCATTTTCACTTTTGAATTAAACGTTATAAAAAGTAAAATTAACTCTTATTTGAAATTGAAAATGGAATTGGTGGTCGCAATTATATAATTTTATTTGTACTTTGACTTTCATTTTCACCTTCACTCTGAAAGATTTTTTTTTTACTTTCATTTTCACTTTCGAACTAAGTAAATTTAACTTTAATTTAAACGTAAACTTGGAAGAGGGTCAATTATGTAATTTAATTTCTGCTTTGACATTCACTTTGAAAGATTTTTATTTTTACCTTTGATCTAAAAGTTAAGAAATATAAATTTAACTCTATTTTAAAAGTAAAATTGCAACGCAAGGCGATTATTTAATTTAATTTTTTCACTTTGAAAGATTTTTATTTTCACTTTCATTTTCACTTTTCATCTAAACGTTAATAAAAGGAAATTTAATTCTAATTAAAAAGTAAAATTGGAACAGGGGGTCAATATAATAATTTTATTTCTAACTTTAACTTTAATCTTGACTTTCACTTTGAAAGATTTTTATATTTTCACTTGCCTTTTTACAGATTTTTTTTCACTTTCATTTCAGTTTTTACAGAAACTGCATATTTTTAAAATTTTTTATCACTTTCATTTGAAAGCAGAAATTTTCTCCAGTAAATTATGTAAAGTTAAAGAATGGAACAACAATAGGTTTTCAATAAAATCAAAAAAAAGTGTTTAAAAAGTTGATTTTTTTTATTTTTTTTAAAACTAGCTCTTTTTTAAATCTTTTTATGAATTTCATTCTAAAGCTGAGATTTTCCCCTTAAATTAGAGTAAATTTAAAAAATGGGACAACAATTGGTGTCCCATTTTTTAAATTGTTTAATTTACCCAAAATTACGGGAAAAAATCTCAGCTTTTCAATTAAAATAATAAAAAATTTTTTAAAAGAACTAGTTTTCTCATAAATTTAATTAAATTTTAAAAATTGGACAAACATTGTTGTCCCGTATTTAAAGTTTTTTGAATTATTCTAATTTGGGGTTAAAAATCTGTTTACCAACTAAAATGTTAAACGAAATTTTTTAAAGAGCTATTATTCCCATAGATTAGAGTAAATTTAAAAAATGGGACAGCTATTGTTGTCCCTTTTTAACATTTTTTGAAGTACCTTAGTTGATGGGATGAAATCTCGTCTTTTCGATAAAAATGGTAAAAAAAAATTTTGAAAGAGCTAGTGTTCCCATACATTAGAGTGAATTTAAAAAATGGGACAGCTATTGTTGTCCCGTATTTAAAATTTTTTGAATTATTCTAATTTGGGGTTAAAAATCTGTTTACCAACTAAAATGTTAAACGAAATTTTTTAAAGAGCTATTATTCCCATAGATTAGAGTAAATTTAAAAAATGGGACAGCTATTGTTGTCCCTTTTTAACATTTTTTGAAGTACCTTAGTTGATGGGATGAAATCTCGTCTTTTCGATAAAAATGGTAAAAAAAAATTTTGAAAGAGCTAGTGTTCCCATACATTAGAGTGAATTTAAAAAATGGGACAGCTATTGTTGTCCCTTTTTAACATTTTTTGAAGTACCTTAGTTGATGGGAAAAAATCTCGTCTTTTCAATAAAAATGGTAAAAAAAAAATTTGAAAGAGCTAGTGTTCCCATACATTAGAGTGAATTTAAAAAATGGGGCAGCTATTGTTGTCCCTTTTTAACATTTTTTGAAGTACCTTAGTTGATGGGAAAAAATTCTCGTCTTTTCAATAAAAATGGTAAAAAAAAATTTTGAAAGAGCTAGTGTTCCCATACATTAGAGTGAATTTAAAAAATGGGACAGCCATTGTTGTCCCTTTTTAAAATTTTTTTACTTACCCAAAACTATAGAAAAAAAATCTCAGCTTTTCAATTAAAATAATAACAATTTTTTTAAAAGAACTAAGTTTCGCATAAATTAGGGGTCGTCCATAAATTACGTAAGACATTTTGGGGGGAGGGGAGGGTCTGCTAAATCTTACGAACCGTAGAAAAAATGGCGCTAATGCATGTAAAAAATCTTACAAAGGGGGGTGGGTGGTCAAATTTTTCAAAAAAGTGACTTACGTAATTTATGGACGGCCCCTTAGGGTTAATTAATAAATAAGACAACCATTTTCCCATTGTTCCTTTAAACATTTTTTCAATTACCCTAATTTATGGGAAAAATTCTCAGCTTTTCAATGAAAATGATAACAAGAATGTTTAAAAACAGCTAGTTTTCCCATAAATTTGACTAAATTAAAAAAATTAGACAAACATTGTTGTCCTATTTAAAAAACTTTTTGAATTACCCTAATTTGGGGGTAAAAATCTGTTTATCAACTAAAATTTTAAACAAAATTTTTAAAAGAGCTATTATTCCCATAGATTAGAGTCAATTTAAAAGTGGGACAGCCATTGTTGTCCCTTTTTAATATTTTTTTAAGTACACTAATTTATGGGGAAAAATCTTATATTTTCAATTATAATGTTAAAAAAAATTTTAAAAGAGCTATTATTCCCATAGATTAGAGTGAATTTAAAAAATAGGACAGCTATTGTTGTCCCTTTTTAAAATTTTTTGATTTGCCCAAATTTATGGAGAAAAATCGCAGCTTTTCAATTAAAATAACAAAAAAATTTTTTAAAAACTAAGTTTCCCATAAATTAGGGTTAATTAATAAATGGGACAACCATTTTCCCATTGTTCCTTTAATCATTTTTTCAATTACCTTAATTTATGGGAAAAATTCTCAGCTTTCCAATGAAAATGATGACAAGAATGTTTAAAAAGAGCTAGTTTTCCCATAAATTTGACTAAATTTTAAAAATGGGACAACAATTGATGTCCCATTTTTAAAATATTGTTTGATTTACCCTTATTTAGGGGTAAAAATGTGTTTTTTTTAACTAAAATGTTTAAAAAAAATGTTAAAGAGCTATTATTCCCATAGATTAGAGTAAATTTAAAAAATGGGACAGCCATTGTTGTTCCTTTTTAAAATTTTTTTATTTACCCTAATTTTTGGGATCACAGGAAATGAAAATGATAAAAAAAATTTTAAAAGAGACAGTTTTTATAAAAAATAAGGTTTATTTTTTAAAAAAGAGGGATTAAAAAACTTTTTTTTGAAAAAGGAGTTTTTGAATTAAAAAGTACATAAAAAATGCGCTTTAGAATGCACTTTAAAAAATTGAAATTTTTACTTGATTGTCTCACGTGGAATTGCTTTAAAGTAAAATTAAAAATAAAAATAAAAATCTTTGAGGGTCAAAATAAAAATTTATGAAATTAAAAATAAAAATCTGTTAAAGTGGAAATGCAGATAAAAATCTATCAAAGTGAGATTTTAAGTGAAATTAAAAATTCAGCGAAAGTTAAAATTAAAATGAACGTCAAAGTAATAATTAAAATTCTATAACCAACCCCGTCATTAATATTTTAAAATAAATATATTTTAAAATAAAAATAATTTTTGATAATCGATTAATACGTGTAAGAGTAGAAAAAAATTGCTTTTACGTTTGCGATATGAAATTTCACAGGGAATATTGAGGAAGTTACAATAAAGAGACAAGAGGATGGTATCTCGATGTATAGTGTTGAAAGAGTATATATAAGGGTAGGTATATGTGGAAACTGTTAAACAATGAATCAAACGTATACGTTTTGAACCTCTAGAATGTGATTTCTAAACATTGCTCTCCTCTCTATTTACCGTGTAACGTTATGAGAAAGCGTATATAGATATGAAGCGTTTCTCTCTCTCTCGTCCCGCTCCTAAAATCTATCTACTAAGATAAGGCCATTTGAACTGTCACACAAAGCAAAACCCAGCTCAAATTCCTACAATGGTCATTGGATTTCTAAACACTCAATATTTTCCCACACAAGTTCACTGTAAATTGTCACTATATTTGAAGAAAAGTAAAATCATCTTTAAAAAATTAAATTAAAATTAAATTCAACAAAAAATGAAGTTAAAATAAAATTTTCAAATTTTTTTGTATATACGAAAATAAAAGGGGACAAGCCTTTTCGTACACTTATCGTACGCAATTTATTATGAATTAAAATTTATTTATTATAATAAAATAAAAACAAAATAAAAATAATGTAAAATAAAAAATCAGTTATAAAAATAGAAAAAAATTATTTCTTGAATAAAGATTATGCGAGAATTTACTCTCAAAGACGAAAGTTTATTGTTACTTTGTTATAAATATTTATGT